GCCCAATCGCCGTACACGAGTAGCGTGCAATAATAGTGTTGCGCATGGAGAAGATGTAAAATTTGCGAAGAAAATTGTCAAAGGATATAATTTGTATACAATTATAGCGGACAATAGCATTGCCTAAAGCTTTAATTAAAAGCGTTTCTGTTATATACCCTGATAATGAACGTACATCTCGGGATTATTGTATGTATTATCAGTGGGAGAAGATGGAACTAGTCAGATTCACAGGCGAGCCTACATAATTCTAACAATGGTGAATCCATTATAATATATCCGTTACAATATATAGATGAAATGGACGTACAATAATGATACTATCTCTAATTGTGCAATCGTTTGACTATCCACTAATTTGCGTCATAAAATAACGCGCGGTCTTCGCATCGAGAGCGCGCCTGAGTGTAAATTTTTCATCACGTCGCGGAAAATTACGCAGGGATTTATGCATACGATCTGCTTTGTCTTATTAGACACCGCGCGTTTGTATACGGAACGTGTCCCCGATGTGATCAACGCCGAACGTGCAATTATGCACGTTCGCCGAGTAGACCCGTTCCACACTTTCTAAGCCGCGGGATTTCGAGAAGGGAGAATCATTTAGGCGTGTGGGGAGCTCTCGGTCGTAATCGCATTTGCAGATACGCCGTTTCTTGAAGTAATAGCACATCCACGAGATTTCCGCGGCTTTGAAGTCTCATATTCAGTTCTAATTGATATTTATATCGTATGATGTTGCCTTGAGCACGAAAATAACGGGGATGTTAAACGCGTTGATATAAATACTGATATTCTACAATTCTGATATTTATAGCTACGGTCTGCTTTTTTTTTCTTTAACTCATTTAATACGTATCGCTTTAAACATTTAATATTTCTTATCTTCCCAAGAAGTTTGTGAATTCATGAATAATTTATGAGCTGTATATAAACCTATAGTCTTATTCACACGATCACAGATCGATTTTTCTTATTTGGGTATTTAATGACAGTTAATAAAGAATAAATTTAATATTTTCTTTTACGTGAAGTTTACTACAGAAACTCTGGAAGAAAAATAATCCAACAGTGTACGGCCTCTTAAAATTTAGAATTAAATATACTATTCTTTTGCCAAATTATGTTTACGAGTTTATGAACGACAGACCGTGTCTGTCGCCGTCAATTTGGCAGGGGTTCAAATGCACGATGATCTTACGATCATCGACAGACCGCCAAGAATGTCAAACGCATATGCGAGTTTGTTAGTATTTGTAGTATGATCACAGCCGCGGGAAATTATTTGCAGTCATGGCCACGTTTGTTTTCCAGTGGCGCGCGGTATTATTGACGATTGCTCGAGTATAATTGGACGAGTCGTAGCTGCGAAGCGTCCTCCGTTATTTATGCAGATGTGTTGTTATTGGCGAATCAAGAATCTCAGAAAGTTGAGGCGCGATTATTAGTTTTCCTACGCAATCCGCATGCGAAAACGATCTGATTCCCTCTAACTTAACTTCCGTCTTTCAGAAACTTTAATGCCGATTGATTTACGTCTACTGAATTTTCATGCCGTTTTAAAATTAATCTGTACAGAAAATATTATTATCCTATCTCCGATAAATTATACGCTTCTAAAGATCCTGAAATGTCAAGTATAACAAGTAAATATTGATCTTTTTATAGTCATTAAGAATATTTGAAATTTTTATTAATTATCAATGACCACAAAATTATATAATATATCGATGTTGGATATCCTTAATAATAACGTAATTACGTTTTACAAGAAACATCTGACGCGCGCGTGGTACATGTCTGTTACAATTGGCAATGCAATTATGAACAGTTGTCGTGGCGAGAGATGCACTCCACCTTCTGAGACATTCAGAGGTTCGAATACCGGCGGGGAGGGAAACACGAAACGCGAATGCAATCGAGGCCGGGTCGAGGCGCGGTTCAGCCTCGACTCGGTTAAGTACACTTTATTAAGCATGCCATCTGCACGTTGCGCCATCCACTTATGTGGTAAATGGAATTACAAACGCATCCCTATGCTGCGGGATCCCAGGTTGCGGCTCACACCTTGCGTTCACAATGAGCGTGCATACGTCGGGCTAACTGTTGTATATATAGCATCGTAATTGAATAACAGTTGGAAATTCGTAGTCGGCAACGACGATTAGCGCCAGGGGGAAAAAATGGCCATAGAACGCGCGCCGTTTTATAATGAAACTATTTATTTTGCAAAGGGTTTTTTTTTTACTACACGAGACTCTTTTTCGCAGCCGTAACATGCGTCATATTACCATTTCAATCTAATCTTTTGATACCATTGTGAACGCGCTGCTCTGATGGAACGCCAATTCTCGGCTGAGCGTGAGTCACGATTTTCTGACGGATTTGATTGATCGCATTGTGGTTGCAGTCCACGTTGCAGAAAATCCACATAAAAGAGAAAGCGCGGACTGGCCCGGCTACAATGATTTAGAGCGATGCTATCTACGGGCACGGGCGATTTTGCTGATAACAAACTTTTACTCGCTTTATTCGGCGGCCCCACTCGTCCGCGCTCGCTCGCGATCTCCGCGAAATCGATGAAGAATTTATCGAACGTAATCGCGGTCGCGAAGCCTGAAATTCCGCATCGCGGCCGAATTCGGATGAGCCTCGCGTATCGAGATCGGCAAATTATTCGGCCGTGAGAGAAGCCGCCGTTTATCAAACTCGACTGAGTATGTATGTGTGTGTTGCCGGCCCATCGAAGACAGGCTCGTTGATTTATTAAATTGCCGCGCCAAGCGAGAGAAGAAAAGTGAGAGAGAGAGAGAGGGAAGGGAGGGAAATCTATTAAGAGCGAATATGGTCGAGCGAGATGTTGCGGCGCAGCGCGACGTCATCGTTGCACCTTCTCGCTGGGATCGAAGACAAAATTATTAAAGTTCCGTCGTACAAGCGTGCGCCATCGATGTTTACGCTCGTAGTCGCTGACTATATGAGTTTCCGGTAAATACGGCCGCGCCGTCCGTCGAAGCTGATGAAAAGAGACTTGTTTACTCGCCAGCTGATTTTCGAAGTACGACGCGATGCTGCAAAACTCACGAGCGAGAAACATCCACGTAAAGGGTTTCCGTGTATACAAACTGCCCGGTTTTCAACGGGAGAGTTCTCGTTTTATCAGTAGGATGGATAAATCCTGTTTGTCCGCGAGAGTTCAATAATCGGTATGATATTGCGCCAAGTATAAACACGGTTTAAAGTAACTTTGTTATTTTTACGTTATTTTTTTGTTTGTTTATCTATTTACTTTCCACAAAAAGAGCAAAAGCTTTAAAAAAAAAAAAATGTTTTTTTATTTAAAAAAAAAAAGAAAAAAAACGTTTATTGTGATTTTTTGTGTAAAGGCTCGAATCAAACTTCTGCTCGGCAGAAGATAGAAAATTATATGCAATTTGATTTATGCATGTGCCTTAACCGATTACCGTGTGTACTCCTTTGCATAATTATTTCGACGTGAAATATAGCGCAATATAATCAGTGATTATTAATCACTTATACGTGAGACAGATACCGTTTAGATGCACTCCCAGTTGATTTCCCACGACGTACGAAAATTGCGCCGGGGAAAAATCGCTCGTCGACCTTCATCCTTCGCGCAACTATATGAGTCATAATTTTGTACTAAGCGATCCCATCTTTTCTCCAGTCGGCGCTGTGCAAATAGTGCACCGGGAGTTTCCAGCGCCGCTGCGGCAGTGGCAGCTCTGAAACAATAATTAATTAGCTGCCTCGCAAGGAAGCAAGCACGGCGAGGAGAACGATGATCGCAGATGTTGCACGTCGGTAACGACGACCCGTAGAGACGTACAAGCATCCCTGCCGTTGCAGAGGTAAATTGCAGACAGACGGATACTGTTCTCTGTAACCGGGAGTCGGAATCGATCGGAAACATTTTTTGATCATTGATGAATAATTAAGCTGATGTAATTAATAATAACGAATGGTTGACTAATTGAGAGATAACCTATATTTTTATTTAAAAAATTTTTTTGTTGCAAAACTTTGTTATACGATATATTAATGGATACATTTATGGTTTTGTAATGTTATTAAAGGGAAAATTTTTTTATCAATATTCGTGTTATTTGATATTGAAACACTACATAGACATTCTTATTTGATACATTCAGTAAGCGTATCAAAAAATATTCAATAAGCGGATCAGAGAATATTCTGATTTTAAGTTTAATATAGGTATTTATTATACGTATATTTATTTGCTTATTTATTTGTGATTACAAATTTTAGATATTTCCGCATCATGTAAAATTTATATGCGTTACGATTCTTTATAAGTTAAATTCTTCTTGTCAATATTCTTCCATTAAGTTTTTTCAGCGGAGAGAAATAAATTTATTATAGCATAAATGATATGATATATTAACATTACTGATTTTGATACTAAAGTTTTCAAATTGTAAGAGTTTATATGCTGTCTGATACCATTCCAAAGACAATGGTCCCCAATAAAACAGGGGGAGGGGGCTTTTCGTTAAGGAAGCCCACGTGATCTTTAGCGAGAAGCCACCTCGAGATCCTTTCTTCCACGACACAGTTGGTGCTCGATCGATGTTGACGACCAGACCAATCGACCATTAAGTATATCCCAGGTCGCGCGCAAAAAGAACACGGTAGGCAATCAATCTTCCATACGTCGAAGTCTTGTAGACGCTACCTCGCGTCTCTCATGACGACGTGGAGGGAAACAGGAGGTGATGTCGGGGGCGCGGAAGAAACGTTGCGGGATGAGCGAACCTTGGGCGTCGTCGCCGCAAAAAGTTGTCAGTCCTCGACGATAGAGGAGAGAGACACCGCTTAGAAGCAATCTAGCGTCCGGAGGAAACGACTCTTGCTTCTCGGCAATTCGCGAGCTAGTCGAGCAACATCGATTTGTCTCTCGATTCGTCGAACGTCGAGGCGTTACGGCAATTTAACGGGTTCTATATCTCTGATTTCAGGTAGCAGCGAGGAATCGAGGGCCGGTGGCGGTGATCCTGGGAAGCTGGGAGTGAAGAAATCGAGACCGAAGGCCTCCTCGCCGAACAGGCAGGGACCACAGCAGTGTCAGGTGAGGAAGCGATGAAGAAGCGACGAGATGAATCATTGCACTTTAGAGAGAAATGAAATTCTTGCGAATGAGACGTGGGGGTCTTAGCCGAAAGTGTAATGAAATTGAGCTGATAAATTAATTCGACGAAAAAGTGTTTTCTATCTTACGTATAATCTAACAGCTTTTTCTGTAGCAGTTAATTTATTAAAATTCTTAGATTATTAAAATTATAATTCTCCATAATTTTATTTGTTCTCTTCTAAATTGTATTCTTTCAATGGTTGAAGTTAATGTTATTTGCTATGATTTAAATATAGCTATACAGGAACATTAATAATTTTGATGGAACGATATTGGCACTTGTTATGTGATTTGTAACAGATGAGCGGGATAGATTGTCATTCGAATTTTATTCAAATTGGCTCTTCCGCAGCGGTAGTACGATTGCTCATATGTGCATCAAGAATATTTATGCAATTACTATCAATCAGAATATCCAGCTGCCGTGACAACGTCAAGCGCGCTTCGTAGCGATCGCGCGACCTTCGATAAGATATTTTTGCATAATGAAATTTGTTTACTAATTATTTGCTTAACAATCACAGAGTTTTAAAGCTACTCGCAATTTTTAATGCTAAATGAGCTGTTTCGGTAGAAAAAAATTGCGTTCTATTATCAATAATTATCATGCGTGGCGCGCACCCTCATTTTACCTTAATAAAATTATTCAGATAGTCTTAATTATACTGTCATGCTGGGAACATTATTTTTAAATATTCCCTTGTGTACATATATACGCATAGCTTGTTTAAATTACGTGTATGCATAATGTAGCTACGTTCTTGACGAGCGCAGTTTTTTTTACCGGTATGTTTTAATTAAATCTGAAATCACCCGCGGAAATAACGAGAACGTACCGCGCTTCTACGTAAACTGACATTAGATAATTGTCTCTGTCAATTGATTTAAAGTTTGCTGAAATATAGTGTTCAACTACGTGTGCGAATCGGAAGCCGGTCCGCGCGGTTCAAATTGATAATTGCGCTGTTCTTTAATTACTCGTGCATCGCGAAAGTATATAACTAAAATTTTTTTCAGTCTATTTTTCCGTATCTGTTGTACAATTTCGCGATGTACCAGATACAGATCGCGAAGCTGCGTTTTGTTTAACGGCTCACTCTGACGTTTTTCCCCGTTGTGCTCCATTTTAACAGTTAGTTTCCTTTCGAAAGCACGCACCGACAAAGAGCATTTTCACGGGGAAGAACGAGGCGACGGTTCGTTAGCGACCGATCGAGTTAGACGACCACGATCGATGACCACGGGGGTGTGCTCGAAAACCGTAGCGCGAGGCCGCAAAATTCGTGCTAACCCGCCCCATTCTCTACCCCCGTGTGTCTGCCCCCTTTCCGTCCCTTTCGCCCGCGGCTGGAACGAGTCGAAATGGCGCCATCGAACGCTAACGATGCTGACCCACTTTCCGCTCCGCGCCGGCGCGCTCGTTGCGGAAAGCCACGACGACGCGCGGGGATGCGCTCTCGCATCCGTGACGTGCAATCCGTACGAGTTTTCGCACGCACGCGGCATTTTTACGACGGCGGCCCTTCGAGCCCGCTTTATCACGGACCCGTACGGACGCGTTACGTCCGTGGCTTCAGACAACTTTTTTATGGCGTAGTTATTTTCCTTTCCGACTTGAAGCGCAGCAAATTAGATGCAGGCTGCTCCGACACTAAGCGCGAAACACATCCTGAGAATTTATTATTACAGCGTTATAGTGTCCTATTTTATTCGCGAATCGCGATTTAACATTTTTTTTATTATTTTGGACGCGGAATTAATTTGATACCAGCGAAATAGAAGAAATTAGACACTCGGTTTCTCTGCATATCTCCTTTATCATTGCATTGATTTATATCATCCATGGTATTTTTACATGATGGTTTTCCGCGCGTATTGCCTCGATATATAAATGTAAAATGGAAATGAACTTTAATCGGCCCGATTTCGAATTGACGTGACTGCAATTTATTTCTACGTGACGACAGCGCAAAATGGCAGCGCGCGCTAGCCTTGATTTCAGCGCAGCTCAATTTCCTTCTTCCGAGGCCCAACCCCCTTGTGACCCACATTAAGACGCAACGGTCTCGGCGCTAAAGTGCCAGGCGGTTGTCGGCACTGTTTATACACGCGGTACACGCTCGCGCGCGTGCAAGCACGGCGTCGTGACCGTGTGCCGTGTGCCGTGTGCCGGGTGCCGTGTGTGGAAAGGCTGTTGAATATTCAGGCGACGCCGGCGCGAGCCTCGAGCAGAGGCAGAGCAAACACGGCGGCACCCCGTGATGTAACACACGAACGCGATACTCCCCCGCGCGCGTTTCCCCCGTTCGTCGTCTGTACACTCGACCGATTTAGGCGTGCCTCGTGGTGGTATTTAGGAGCTAACCCTTTCAGAACCCGCCACCTTCACTGATTGATCCGCTTTCCTCTTCTCGTCGTACATCGCGCGGTCTATATACAGCTCCGAGCTTTTGACTGTGAGGAAAACCACTTTGCTCCTTGAGCTCGTAGATTCGTATTCTTGTTGCGAGTTTAGCAGTCAGATATGTTGGCCCGATTCGGAGAAATCTTATTTACTTGGTATATTTAATCTCACTAAGACGAGAATTATGCAGCCATCTTTAGACTCGCGATGAGAATGCGCGCTGTACTGTTTAAGGGAAGGAAGCCCTTTCTTCCGCAGATCCACTGTCTTTGCGACTGATCCCCTTCGCTTCCATCTCACTTCGTCCCCGTTCTCCTCTGTTAGAGGATCATACGTCATACTCTCTCGTTTCCACCCTTTTCACATAGCATCCCTCCTTGTCGCACGAGCTTCTTGCTCTTTCATCCTCGCTACTCGTTCTCCTTCATCTCTGCCACTTCCTCTTTCGTCCCCTTTGACCCGTACTCTCGTCGTTTCATCTCTTCTCTTTCTCCCGCGCGTATGCCTGGATGGCCCCTCGTCCTGGTGTGCCTTGTTACGTAATTAAATGACGGTCCGCCTGACTTGTTGACAAGCCTTGTCGATGTATCGAGTTAGCGACGAATTAAGCCCGTCCGCCTCAGCTCGATTATGGCTCTCGGATATCGCCGCGATCCAAAGGGGGTGGTACTCGAACGAGAGATAGAGAGAGAAAGAGAGAGGGAGCAAAGAAGGGAAATGGCGAGGGAAAGAGAGAGAGAGAGAGAGAGAGGGAGAGAGGAGAGAGAAGGCTAGCGGCCTTTGCAGCAGCGTCCGACGTGACGCTCGGCTGTCTCGCCGGAAATTGATCGTTATTCATTACAGGACGCCCGTGGAATTTTCCTCGTCACGGCGGGCTCTGTACCGCCATAATTTATGCGCCAATTATCGCGCACGGCATTATGCGCGAGACGGTCGATTAATGCCGCGCGACGCGAGATAAAGTTTTTTAATGCACCCTTATGATCGCTCGCAATGCATCAACGATTTCCATTTAGAGCCCCGTTGGCGTGGCGTGGCATGGCGTGGCCCGGCCTCTCTCATAGATGCCATCATCTCTACGCTGGACGCAGCACCGGTGCGTGCTAATTAATAATTCAAACGCAACGCGTCGGGTATTTTATACCATGTATAACGACACACCAGATTGCGGGTATGATGATATTGAAAGTTTGAAAATCTGCGGGATGGAAAAAAATAATGCATGCGATTATTAATCGTTCTGCTTGTGCAGCGCTTTATGCTAAAAATAATTTGCGGCAAATGTGAACGCGTTTACATCGATTTAATAAACCTGAAGTCTTGTTAAGTTTCATATGAGAATTTAATTTGTGCTTTAGCTATATGCACCATCGAGGGAGCTATTGTTGTTGCAATTATTTAATCCGCACTCGTGTAAAAGCAATGGGTTTCACGTGGATGATGGAATCGCTGATGAACTCTCCGATCGATCGATTTTTTGCTTCGTCAACTGTACATTAAATCATTAATTAATTAGACCAGACAGTACACACATCATGAAAAGTCAGGAAACTTCCGCGATAATTTTAATAAGCGAATGGACTTTTTTTCTCTGAAAAGCATATATGATATGAGTGATACACGATAATCTAAAAGCGCGCGCGCGCGCGCGTGGGATACTATACAACGAAATTATGATTAATCCCGGACAAGATTAAATGACTTCTTCGTTACCCTCGTGTTGATTAAACCGTTACTCTACTTTTTGATTTAACGCCGTCGTTTAGTTACTTTCTCTTGCTTTTTATCTTTTTATCTCGCTATCTTTCTACGGTATCGCTGCGAAGTGACCTTGCAATCTGGTTATCGCGAACATTGTATTTTTGACTGAAAGAGACTTCGAGAAAACGGGCCAATGTAATCTCCAAATTCGTGCAAACACATGCGCATGTACTATGCTGACATACGTGACCGTTATTCTGGATACCTATATGTACTTCCAACATTCGTGGTGACACGAGCTGTTAATTAAGCCGACTTCAACCCAAGTTGTTGGTAGATCTACGTGCAGCTTCACCCCATTACGTCGTAGTTTCTACCCCAGTCCGTTGCTCTTGTTGTCGATCCTGCTCTTTACCATTTCGCTACATTCCGTATCTCTTTAGTCGCGACAAAGGGACTAGGCTTCGTTTTCTGGCGACGAACTACGCGCGTCACGAATTCGCCGTGCAACAAAATTGATCTGCTTTGAATACGAAGGAAACAGTATTATCTAGCTGATAAAAGAGGTGAAGTATTTGTAAATTTATTTTCTACCTATCGAAATAAGGAATCGAGATAAAGTTTTTTTTGATCGCTCGCAATGTGTCCACGATTTCCATTTAGAGCCCCGTTGCGTATTTTATAGACTCGATAGTTTTAATTTATTTTCGTGAAGTTAATTTCTTGCTGACAATAATTTAAGAAAATACTATATATTTTTTTCGAATACATATCAATTATTTGTAAATGTCGATATATTAATTTATTGTCATAAAGAAGCACTTTTATTTATGTTTAATAACGCTTGTTATGCGTTCGAGACAAAGATCGCAGTAAGGATAATGATCTTCTCTCTTTGACATTTAACCATCTATGGTCTGATTGATTATAACGTTGATATTTTCTTGATGGTTGCTCGGTGAATACTCGCAAGAGAAGTATTCCACTATTACACTACCCTTGTTACGTCTGTCTTTCGCGAGAAGTCGCTGGTAAACGAACAACTCGGTACGGTCGTCTTTCGCGACACAATGGAAATCCCGAGCGGTAACGCGATTTCCTGCATTCCATTCATCGTCCTTTTTCCTAGCAACGTAGTCCGTTCGTGCATTACTTTGCCTCAAACGAGAATAATATCCTCCTGCGCCATCATGGCGGCCGGGGCCTTTGTCTCTTTGCAGCATCAGCAGCAACGACGGCACACCGAGTCTTTCCTTCTCGCGAAGGCTGTCTTCCTCATTATTTACGGAAGCGTGAGTTTCTCGTCTTCTTAACGGTTGCTGGTAATAAGATGCACTTCTTTAAAAGATTTGCCTGCCCGGAAGCGACAAATTGCATTCGCCCAGTGGCCTCGCCCCCTCGGGGTGTTACGCTACCGCTTCCAGCCCCGGCCTTGTTGGAAGAAAACTCGGGACGGGACGCGAACGTGGTTAGCTGGAACAAACGTTAACCGAATGAAACCGCAGATGCATGTTACCCACGAGCCGTGTGCGACGACTGTTCACTTTAGCGAATTTCATATATAACGAAATGATCTCTTATCCTTCTTTTTTTCCTTCCCTTTATTTTTTTCGCTAGATATCAATGTTTGCACTATTGTGTGTAATACGAATTATGTATATGCTGAACTATTTCACCTACAATGTACAGTTTTAAAATAAGATGATCCAATTAAAATTATAGTCATCTTATTGTAATCAAATGACACGTAATATTTTTACCGCAGTTTTTAAGAAAATTATGCAACTACGCGGACAGTCGCTCGTCCCTCATTTCCGTGGTTGCTAGAGACATGATTCAAATCAGTTATTAGATTGAATCGAGCATTATTGAGACGAGCAAGAGCCCAGAGAGCCCAGTGAATGATAACCGCTCTCGACGGAAATCCTCTCGTTCGTAATTCCCTCGAAACTTCAGAATGTAACATCCGCCGGAGCTTTCGCCGAGGACACGCGCGATTTCACATCCGGTCCCTCATACTCGTACTTCATCTCATTGGAAGAGAGCGGCCGCGATAGACGCGGTTGGTCGGAACGACTGTTAAGCGGATCGACCGATCGATGGGACCGGTTTAAACCACGAATCGCTCTGTGGTTGCCTCTCCGACCACCGGTTCGGTGCAAATGTCCTCCCGCGCGCCTCTCTCCCATCGAGGTTTCCTCTTAACGAAGTATCAATGTTACCACCCGCGGGATTACGTATTCAGGGCTCGATGTTGGCCGGTGTACATTGGCTGCGGCGCTACAGGCTGCAGTCGCGAGCGAGCCAAGTGGCGACGACCGAGAACCATCGTGTACGGACGAAGTGCGGCCAGAGATCGTGGCGAGGGGAGGAAGAGGTGGGTTGGCAAAGATAGTGGTAGCCAGAAAGGCCAGGAGTAATGATGTTTGTTTAGCTCTCAAGGAGAGGGTCTGCGTCGAGGGGGTGGAAGATACGGGTTTTGGCACGAGGATGATGGGCGAGAGACGCGAAAGACCGTACCCATGGTCGTTGAGCTTTCTCTCGTCGAGACTCTCCGCAGCATCCTCCTTCGAATCTTCGTCTCTCTCTTTCTCTCCTGCACTTTCTTACTCTCCTCCTTTTTATCTATCTTTCTCTGTCTTATCCCCATCTCGCCATCTGCCGTTTCTACTACCGCCTTTCCGTCACTCCAGCAGCTTCTCTCATCTTTCTCCCTGGTCTCGGTCCTCGCCTCGTAAATTGAAACTCCCGTGTGTTGGCGTCCGTGCATCTGGAGCTCCTTAGGAGTTAAGCTACGCAAATTAGATTTTCTGCTTAGGAGCCAGAAGTACGACTCCCCCTTTCCCTCGGCGCTTCGCCCCTTTTCATCCCTCGGCTCCTGCGAGACCTCCGCGAGACCGTGCGCAAACGTTCATCCCACCTCGTGAATATATACGGCCGCCATCTCTACACGTCTCAAGTCTTTGCGTTTGTGTCACTTCTGGCTCCCTTCTTTTTTTTTTATTCCCTTTTCCGTAGTTTTCACGTCCTCTTATCTGCGCCCCTGCCTTCTCGTCGCCCCTCCTCCCTTATCTCTTCCCCTGCCGGTCCGCTTCACGTCTTCGGTCAATATTATCCGCGACGCGTCAGGAACGTCTTAATACCTTTTTCTTTAATCTGGGATTTGCTCTCGGTAGTGGAGGCGACGTGAAGTTTTTCTATCTATGGCCCGGAAATTTCTTCTGTCATGTTGGAGGGTACTCCTCGTTTTCTCGAGAACGTTCGTTATGTACGCTCGTTCCTTCATGAAATGGAATTTGTTGCCTGTTTGCTGGATCCCGGCAAATGTTTGCCGACAGACTGTACCGTTTAAGCTATACGTGAGTCGTCATAGCAACCGTGGCTCATGGTTAAATAGTATCGCTTCACATGAGTGCTCGCGAGGATCCCGCAGGAAGTTCGTATTCCGCCGGATGTCAACAAGTTTCATTTTTTTCTACCGAAAAGCCAGCGTCACTGTCTACATCGCTTCCACGATTTTTATATTTAAATAATATCGAAGTACGTAGATGATAAGAGTGAGTAAGAATTTTATAATTTTAATTTTTAATCCATCTACGTCTTGCTCGAGCTTACTGTTGTACATAAAAAATCGAATCGTATATTATCTTCCTGCTTCGCATGTGACTGTGAAATACAACGGCTTCAAATAATATGATAGATACAATCGACAATACGCTTACGTCTCCTTCCTCTTTCGTTAAGTAAACGCAGTTTTTTTCAAAAGTCAAAAGAAATTCCTTCATTCAGGGAAGCGACGGTATTCTTTCGCGACTTTGGATTCGGTTTTTTTTTTTTTCGTTTCACCGAAATCACCAGCGGATTCATGTACCTCCCCCCGTGCCTATCGAACGATTGGAAATAACAGCGAAACGAGAAGCGGAAAAGACTTTTCCGATAATGGAGGCCCGGAATCGTGCTATCGCACGTTTTCCGCGTCGTCACGTGGCGCGGCGGCGGCCGCAGGTGCATTGGAAATTAATTTCGGCTTAATGCCGCGGCGCCGGCGCCGGCACCGCGAATCCTTCGACGTGACGACGAATTCCCGATGCCCTCGAGACGTGATATTCCGAATCTCGTCCGCGGGATTCCTCGAGCAGGCCATTAAAGCGAGTTTAGCCACGTCGCGGGCGTTCTGTACCTTTCGCATTATTGATCTCATGCATTTACGAAGTGTGTGATCTGATCAATGTGTTTTGTTCGTTTTTCGTAATTTCTTTCTGCAGTGCGCGAATATTGAGATTTATTTTACAAGAACGTGATGTCTATCAATTTTACGAAAGCGTAGAGGAGATAGATCATTTATGGTAAATTAATTATTTAGACTCGGATTTAACTTACGGATTAATCTTACGTTATTTAAACAAACGATCTTAAAAAGTTTCAAAATTATATCACATTTATATTGATTTCTTAATTTTTGTTGTAAAGTTTATACTTGAATCTTAGATATTATTTTGTGAAATAATGTTAATAGAGAGAGGTATTATTTTAGCATTTTAATCATGTTGCTTTTGGTGTTGCCAATGTTGTTCGATGATACCGCGTCATTACATTATGCATGGCATTTCGAGAGGCCGAGACAGGCTCGGTGACGAAAGACGCAGGGCAAATTTATTGGAAATGTTAATCGTTCCTGTCGTTCATGGACCCGCGGAATTCGCACGATTTTCCACGACGGCGAACTCGTCGCCCATTTGAACGGGGCATTGAATTTTCGGGTGGAACACTGGCCGCATTCAATTCCTCGGCCTTTGGCTTCCTGAAATAGTTCCTGAAATAGTGCGCGACCCGGAGGCGCGTATAATAAACCTAATTCCACATACTTAACGGGCATACCATCTTCGGGACTGGTGGTGGCACGATGTGGTCGGTGTTAAATCCGCGAGTAATTTCTACGTACGTATTGCGGTGATACCGGCGATCTCTTATTCTTTAGGACAGATGAAAATGGCATCGTTTATCAGGGAAGCATTAACGGCCATGAAATTTTTGCTATCGTTGCCCCATTTCGGTATTTTGCGGCGAGAATAGCCAATTTAATTCGAATACGAGGAAGATTCGCGTTTATATGTCGCGCGATAGCCGTGCCACATCACTTGTTCTAATATCCATTATAAAGCGACGTTCTTTACACAACGGTCATGCACGCTAATTGAAACCCATGGCCACGCTTCAATTTTTGTCGCGCAGTTTTAAAACAGAGTTTCGCCCGACTCTTCTTCGCGCGTCGCTAATGCACTCGAGGGAAAAAGAAATTCCGTCAAATATGTGTACAATGAAGTTTCCGCTACGTTGTCATAATCAAGAGAGATGCATCCACTGGCAGGTGGTAATGTAATCGCGCGTAGCCGCGATTCGACAGACGCCACGTGTAATTTTCATCCATATCGCTGCTGCAACGAAGATTGTTTCTCTCTGTTACAGGTCTGCGGGAAGGTGTTTAACAACGCATCGGCGCTCACGAAGCACAAACTGACGCACAGCGACGAGAGGAAATACGTGTGCACGATGTGCGGCAAGGCGTTCAAACGGCAGGACCACCTGTGAGTACAGATTAGAGTATTTCACATCAGAGAATTAGCGGTGCACTTGCGAATATGTCAAATTTTATGAAACAAGCTCTCATCTAGTAGCTGTACGATTAGCAATTCTCTGACAGCAGAGAACTATTCTAACCAGATTACAACGCTATTTTGAATCATATGTCAGAGCAACGAATGAAAATCGCTGTATTGACCAAGTATTGTTTTGCGTTTTCACATGGAAAGCAATATTTAGGGAAAAAAGCGTATTTATTACTACGATCTTATTACAAGTCTGGCTCTCCACTTTTCGATCAGCTATTCTCGCGTTTCTACCCGCCGTTATTGACAAAACTGATCTATTTACTTTTTCGCATTTCCTCCTCTTTCTCGATTTAAGCGTCATAGGGCATATTACGGATTCCCCATGCTATAAAACAATAACGAGAACAACACTCGAGCCAGAGCTTAAAGGAAAACGCTCGTGCTCGCGGTACTGAGCCGTTCATTATGTTCATCAAAGCCTCTCAACGCTCCACTTCGGCAATAGTATACGCAGGTATATCGTTCGCGTACAAGTGTGCGTTATACGTATGTGTATGTGTGCGCACGTGTAGATGTATCTCCCCGCGTTCTCTTCTTTGCTGGTGCGCTCGTAAGAAGCCTTCTAAGCTGCCCCGGAGTGCCTTCTTAAGGCCGGTAGTTGGAGAAATTTCTACGCGTAGGTATGCCGAAGTAATCCCTTAGATATTTCCCTTACGTAATGCCCGGCTGTCCGGGTATTGGATGGGAGAGCTCGCGGAGCTTGTATCGGCACGTACGGGTATTAGAACTCCGTTGAATTTATAGCGGTAATAGTTATTGCCAGAAAAAGCTCGTTTGGAGATACGTTTCTCTTTACATCGAATTACACTTTATTTTCGTTGGGTATATTAAATAATAATTCAGACGATAAGAAAAACGATTATGAAATCAGAAGAAAAATTTGCATTCAGACATTTATGTTGTGTATTTAAAAATTGTTATATATTATTCGCGCAAAATCGAATAACTTAATATTTAGCTCGTCCGATCTCTTTCTAAATCAACTATCTAAAGCTAATGTTTAGCTAAGGCTTAGCTAAATTATTCAATTTAAATTGACATAAGTGAGACCACTTAAAAAAGATACAATGCATTTAAATGCAATGAAGAGAACGTCATGTCGCACGATTTAGGATCTTCGTTTCGTGAGACACGGATGAGGAAAATGGACAGGCGCGATATAGCAATCAAGGAGGGACAAGGGACGAGACGGGGCGGCGCACAAAAGCGAGTGATGGAGGCGAACCATAGCGACTAAGGATTCAATTCTTGCCGGGAACGGGCAAAGGAATAACGCGGAATCAATAGAGGTCGGTCTCGCGACTCCGTTCGGCTTCGTCGTTGTAGTGTTGTCCGTCCGGCGCGGGTCGAATACCTCGGCCAGGTTGAACGTTATATTTTCTCGAAAGACGGATCCTCAAATCCTCCAACCCTCCTTTATATTCTTCCCTGCGCTCCTCTACCCCCTGACTTTGCTCGAAATCCGCCACGGCCGGCAGGGTCCATTCTGCGGGGACAGTATTTTTCTTTTCTTTACTGCTTCCTCAATGTCTTCCCTCGTTCTATTTCCTCAAACTCGAGCGACTCGTCGCGCTCAATGCGACCCGGCGGAAGGGTGCGAGGAATTACTTACGTTTCATTGCGAACATTGGATTTGTGGCTCCTCTAGGCGGAGCTGTCTGCGGTGGCACTTGCTCTCTCTCTCTTTCTTTCTTCGATCCCTTTCGTTCCGCCGATAAATGATAATAGCATTCAATCTGCCTAGAAGATCGTAAAGGTAAGACATATCTGTCGACTTTAACTAATCTTATCGCTACCTTAAATTTGATGTCTCAATTTATTTTCACTATTAGACAAATGTTCTACGAATAAATTGCAATAAATCCTTGGCTGAACGGTACCAAACTCGCTGCTATCGCGGTTTATCTTGTTTATCGGTGATATCGAAGCGTTTGGTTTTATTTATCATATTTACTATCTTGCTATAACTCCGGAGAGGTTTCTCCGAGAGGTTCTCTTTGTTTATTTGTTAGCGTAAGTTAAACGTTTGTTTGTATCCATTTCATCGAACGTCGCTTTCGAACGATATTCCCCCCTCGATTGTTGGGATCCATATATTCCCAGATGCAAGTAAACGAACCGTGCGATACTATCTCATGCGCGAAATCGCGAAGTCTTTACCCCAGTTCCTGTTTTTCGCCGGAAGCTGCCGCTTTTCCGTCTTCCAAGTACGGCGTGCGCGATCGAGAGAATGCGTCCCGGAGTTCCTTCTTTACTTTGGAAAACAGGCCGGCTTTTTCGCTGGATTTGCATCGCCGATGTGTGGGAAAGGGAACGCTTAGCGTTATGCTTCTCCGATAAAGCACGTATTGGCAATTTAGCGTAACCGCAATATTGCTTGGGCACGATATTCCATCTTGAGGCTCTATATATACATATATATAAAATATATATCACATTACGAGTTCGCGACGACGAAAGAAGGAACAATAATAGGCAGCCCGAGCAATAATAGTGCCACGGGCGAAGATTTTACGGAGGAGAAAGAGAAGAGATCTTTCAGCTCCATTCCCCGTTTGAATGGACTTTCAAACTTAATTGAGAACGGGAAAAAGTCGGTACGAAGTCTCGCCGTGCTTCATTCTCTTCTCTAAGAATTGGCAGACCTGTGCAACTACAGTTTCCATCACCTCTCACCTTCTTTGTCCAGACAGGTCCCCCATTGTAGATCTTTTGTCGAATAACCGTTACCTACAATTTTTCTAAATTCTAAAGGTAATGTCCACATTGAATATTATTGCTTTAAAATATAACTTGCGTTAAATATATATCGTATTTAATATTTATTAATTCTTAAGATGGAGTTTATTAATGAAATAGTTTTGCATAATCGTATACATAAATAATATTCGTGCTGCCTTAGCAATTTTAGTTTAAAGTGATTTACAATGTTTTCGAGTTTATTGGTAGGATTGATTTGTGAGGACAACAAGGAGGAAGATGATAGTACACGCCTTTAATCTCGTCTATCAAAATCGATAGATTTCTAGACTGATAGGATGACTTCACCACTTTTTAAATTCTTTGCGTCTGTGAACCTAGCACTCTCACCACTAAAAAGAATTCTTTACCGACTCGTTAGATTTTGTTAGATGCTTTTCTTGCCCTGAAAACTTAGTTTCGTACGATTTTATTGTTTCAAAAAGAAAAAATATTTTGAATAGTTTTTTTGTGATAATAGCTTTCTAAAACACATTCTAATACGTAATATGACAGATCAATAGATCAATTCAATTAATTTTTCTAAAGTACTATAGAACAAAAAATATACCACTAAATTATGAACGCGACCCTTAATACATTTTACATTAAATAATAACATCAGGCCGTCAAGGAAACATTTGTTAACGTCGTACAAATGGATCTTCGGGCTTAATCGGAAGACAAAGGGCATAGACGCTTTGTCGCTCCTATATCGCGCTCCCGGGGAAAAAAAACTAACGGACTCCCAGAACGAAAGCTTCGTCGATTTCTTCAGTATCGAACAAGGCACCATTGTACGTTTCTCGGTGTATCTCTGTTATCGAAGTAAATCCACGTAGTCCCTTTGCTGAGTCGGAGCGCCCGCCGCCGCGCGAAATAAGGAACGGAAGCGCTTACACCTCGAGAGGAATTCTCTTCGAGAGCTTTTCTTCAAACGCGGAGATATATACCGACCGCTTCCTCCTCGCCCGAAAGGGATTTGAGAGGACACTGGAGCTAAAGGGAGGCACACAACGTGAGCAGCGGAGGAGGAAAGCTGGCCCTTCGAGAAACAAAGTCCCCCCCTTTGCTTGTAGCACTGTCGAAAGCTTCATTTTTCAGAATGCGTTCGATATTTCGATAATTGTTTTCTCTTATGATCCTCGTCATACCAAGGCGTTACTAGTGCTAACTTTTATGGAAAGAAAACAAGATAAAATAGATTTTCTGTCGATAATCTTCAAAATCTCTAAACTGAAAGTACATTGCGTATCTTATAAAAACTAATATATTATAATTTATATTAAATAAACAGCGTGCGCTACGATAACATTAATTGACTCAATAGTTGGAAGTTAAAAAATAATTCGTCTCCAACTTGGTTAATGAGCGAGTAAAAAAGAAATGTAAAGAAAAAGTAGGCTTTTTTTTGTTAAGTCTCGTTAGGCCACTGGGGTTCAGGCGGAACTAATCGAGAGTTGATAATTAGTGCTGATTTAATCACCGTTCCAGGCAAAATTCTGCGCGTGCTCATTGACGCGGCCCTTTACGAGATCCAATTAAAGTTTCGTGGAAATTCTCGTTGTCGGTTGAGCGCAGGTTCATAACAATTAATAATAATTTCCTTTTCATCATCATATCACCAAGTTATGAGATAATATAAGACGATGAACTCGCGAACAAGACGTGAATTTCACTATGATTTCGGATAATGAAACTGCTGCTAAAGTCACGCGCCATGGAACAGCAATTTATTCTTGATTATTTTTATAACTTCATATTGTTATATACAATAATATTTGTAGAAATTGTAGAATTGTAAAATTGTGTAGCGCGTGTATTAATTAAATAAAAACACAATACTGCAGAGACAATAACTGCGAAATAAATGCGTAAACGAATGCGTTAACGAAATGAATATTATCATAGCTATCGATTACTATTATTCAATTGTTATTCAGACCGTTCTGTGATTCTCTGAACAATTGAACTATTTTAATTGTGCAAATTAAATGTAGCCATTAAACTCAGTTTATTCAATCGTGTTTAGTATATGTAATGTGTTAAAAGGTTTAGTTTTTCTATGGCACTGATTAAATAAGTATTCTAATAAAACACGTCGGTTTACCAGCGAAAACGACCGTCGGATAAAAGCTAAGGGTGGAGTCTTCGCGTTCGCGTTTCTCTCGCTTCCTTTCCGTGTCCCTCGGAAAACGAAAAGGAAGAATGATACACGTGCGGTCGACACGTCCCAGGTGTTCCTGATTATCTGCGGGAAGGGAAAGCGCTGGGAGCTCGGAACGGGTCACCTTAAAAGTTCGACAAATTAGCTTTTACAAATTAAACCCTCCCCACGGTCCCAACTTTACCGGCGGAATTTAAGGGAATCCGTTCGTATATCGATAGACTATAAAACTTTGCCGGATAGGAGTGGCCCCGCGTCTACCGAAGAATTTACTGGAAACGATATCCCTTCCATCGTGCCCGCCGTATCCGTACGACTTCTTCTCGCAATCCACTGCGAAAGACCCGACGAAGGATGTCCACGCTCGGAATCTCGTTAAAGTTTCAGGGAACAGGAAAGGCGGCTCCTTTCGACCACAGCGAAGAAATTTTATGTACGCCAGATAACGTGTATATTATCGATCGCGTATATTGTCGCGGAATATTAGCAATTAGTCTTAATTTGCAATTAATCTTGGATTGGAATTAACGAAAGGACGATGTGCGTAGGAGTATAGTTTTATGTAACAGACAAGTACACAATAGTTTAGAATTTTTGCTTTGTGCATTATAAAGTAAACATCGAGTAAACCTCGAGTAAACATCGATGTAAACATCGATGTAAATACGAGCATGGAGATTGTTTCAATTATAAGCATAGATCGTGTATTTCAATCGAGATCCCGCACACGCCATTATTCTGCTTATCGAGCCGATCGGCAATCTTGCGATTTGGACCATCAACGATGAAATCGACTGCGAATCGCGTCAATGGGGGTCGTGGATTTTATCGCGAACGCGATCGCGTAATCCGGGATCGTGAAATCGCGCAACTTGTTGCATGCCGGACACACCCTCGGATCTCCACGCCTTTTCCCAGCGCTCTTCGGTAATGTCGAGAGAATGGCCAGGTCTCATTTCCCAGAATATCCCACAGTAGTAGAGAGGAGGAATCCTTCCGCGCGCGAGCGCGTTTTGCCCCGTCGATGTCAGCCGGAATATCGGGCAAATGGAGTGGATAAGTCCTTAGGCGGACCGGCGGGGTGTAAGGGCGACACACTGGGGATGAGTTTAGATGTTCCTCCTAGATAAGACAGGGGGAATCGTGCCCGGCGCCCGGCGGTATATGGGATTTCCGTGTCGGGGGTAGATCGTCGATATAGATAGGCGGCATAATCGGGCCGACATAATTTCGGCCGGGCACTAAAGAGCAGGTGTACGATCAGATTTCCGTGCCCATCGAGCATCCGCGAGTGCTATATAGCGTTGTCGCCCGAGACGTTCTTATGATTAATGCTGGATGCGAGAGGAATTCGAATGGGAGCGCGTGGGATGTTCCAGCCTCGGGGTGATATTTCCTGACCGAAATGTTACAGTCGATTTATATTCCGGTTGAAATGCCAGCAGGTGATTCTCTGTCGGAAAGGACGGGTTCTCTCTAAAAAGTTAAATCTCTGAACAAAATTAGCTGTATAACAAATGGATAAATGTGATCGTGTTACAAAATTATTTTTACCATAAGTTCCAGTTGTTGAATTTAAGTTTTTATAAAAGAAAGAATAAAAGTAGAATCTTTTCTCAATTTTAATTTTGCGATACGTTCGATACGACGATTCTTTTTCTTACGAAGAATTTAAAAATGTTTAAGAGCACCCCGAGTTCACTCTCGCGTTTACAAACGTAAAAAATGTGACGGAGCTTTTGGAGCTAACGAGCAAATTTTTCTGGTTGTAGGAACGGGCACATGCTGACACATCGAAATAAGAAACCGTACGAGTGCAAGGCCGAAGGGTGCGGCAAGTCTTACTGCGACGCGAGGAGCTTGAGGAGGCACACGGAGAATCACCATGCCGGCAGCAAAATCAACGAAAGCATCAGTCCTAGCAGCCCCACGACCGGGCCTCACACGCCTAACACCCCCGGAAGCAATCCCAGCACACCGAGCACACCTGGTGCAACTTCCACGACAAATGGTCACGGGCACGCGGCCTTGAAGCAGCTTCTCGCCACCGAACCCGCGCAAACGCAACAGCAAAAGGTAAGTCATTGTCGCATTCTTCCCAGCGAATTCTTTAACCAATTTCGAGTAAAAAAAAGATGCGTTAATATTAAATATTTATCATATATTTAATTTCTTTACTTACGTAGCGGTTCTGAACGTAAGCTGATTTGAACGTAATTATATTCCGATTCGTAATTATAGTTACATTACGTAGTTACTATATACTATTAAGCTGGTGAGCTTACAGACAAATTGAGATGACCAATCGATTCTTAATTTGTTTCACATGACACGAAACGAGGGATTTGAGTCTCACGTCCTTATTGTTTCTGTCGATCCGTCGATCCTCGTAGCGCTGCCCGTGCTGTATATTTCACGATTGAATTTTCTCGAAATTGGTCTGGAATTGCTGCGCCCGAGATGGGTTTAAGGGCTTACAGGGAGGGGGGGAGGAGGGGCGAACCTTTCAAAGAGTCGGTCAGCGCGCGTCCGACGCGAATCCGCAAAGATGTAAGAGGATTAGGTGGCTTTTCCGCGATTGCCGAGTATGTCGCGCGATCCGTAACTAAAATGCCATTAATTTCTGTATCAGTCTTTATCATTCAATTTGTCAATTCCGCCGATCCTTTTAACCGGATTTGTCCCATTCGCGTATCGAGCTTGTATATGATTACGACCGCGTAATTAAGAGGAAATGCACATATAGAGAGACCGCGAAATGAAATCTTCAAAATGAAGATGATAATTCCTGCTCGCGTAGAATCGTTAATTAGAATTCGAGCCCACACAACTACTCGACCAGGTTGTCGAGCGATATAGAGCGGAAAATTTTGATCTCTTTCGAGAGCATTCCCTCTCGCTTTTATCTCCTCGTTGCAGATTTAATTTTATAGCTTGCTAGCTTTCGGTAACTTTTATTACCCGCAATGGTCTCGTCTACCGAATGTAATGCACGGCGATAACGAACTTCAGATTACTATCTCGCTAATTACTACAATCATTACTCAGACCCCGCGATAGTTTAACTTCTTTGCAACTCTGATGAACTTAATTTTCATCGGCCGCAAGGTTGAGTGGATTCTCTTTTGAGACCGGTATAAATTATATCTGGAAAGCCTCTTTAAAAGTAGCTATTTTGCATCACTGAACAAATTATTTCTCGTTAATGAAGGAAATGCGTTTCAACGGGAAGTAAGAGCGTAAAATATATCAATTTAATTGCTGTTCAATTCAACACGTATTTCGTGACATGAAATACAACGAATATTTTTTTTTGCAAATTTTAAAACGATATAATTTTATAACGATTTTTTTGTAAAACATTCTGTAATATATGTATTTTATAACATAAAATACAACGTATTTATTTACAAAATACAAGGATATCTTTTTTTTTTGTAAAACGTAATATTCTCTATCATTTCGAATCATCTGTGATAGCTATAATTTCACGTTGATTACTGGCTCTCTACTCTCCGTTCGTTTTTCGATGGCGTTTTCCAGACGGTGCCTACCATCAGTCTTTCGAACATGGTAAAAATCGCAAAAGCGACCGTTTTCGGCATCACGTCCGTAAATATCAATCAGCAGCGTCGCCGCGGCTTTTAAACGCCACCGAAAGAAAGTCGTTAGTCCCAATTCCGGCCGTCGCAATTAAAAGACGCGAAGCGGAAACTTCGCGCCCCGTCAGAAAGGCCTTCCCCCGATCCTTTCCTTTCTCTCTTTCTTCACCATCCGTAAATGTCGTCGTCTTACCATCTTTCTACGGGTTCGACCGACACGTAGGTTAGTAGCTCGCTGGCAAAGTTTATTGGCTGCGACTCTTGACCACGTAGGGCCGAGGTGGCTACACCCCGGCGAGCCATTGTCGGACGATAAAAGGGCGCGCGAGAAAACGAACCGTCCGTGAGGAACGAGAGAAGTCGGAAGGAGAGCCCCGAAGGTGAGACCACCCTTCGTCTTCCCTCGCCTGTTCTTTACCAACCTTCCTCCGCAGTACCCCCCCCTCCCCCTCCCTGTCAGACCTAGTGGAAATTAGTTCTTGGCCGTAGAGCACGGAATTATTGCCGCTTTCAAAGTCGCTCGCTGCGCTTGCATTCGAAGGCGAGTGAGAGATGCGAGAAGAAAAGCGCGCATGGTTGAAGAGGGTAAGAAAAGGAGCGGAGAGAGAGAAAGAGATCGAGAAAGAGACGGGAAACAGCTATGCCAATGTGTGTAGGTGTGCTTCCGTGTGCGCTGCGCTGAGAGAGGATGGGAGGGTAGTTAAACCGAGACTACGAATCTACGATATTGAGTTAGAAGTAAGGCGGGCCGGCTCTGAAGTGGGGGCTAATAAAATTTGATGACCGGGAACTTCGTAATGAGAATGAGACGCGGAAAGGAGGTGGAATCGAGGGAGGCGAGGGAGAGCGTGGTAAGAGAGAGAAAGGGAGAGAGACGAAAGCGGTCGGCTATGAAAACTTCTCAGACGTAGCGAGCCCGCGATTTATGATATTTCATCGGACAGCCGCGGAGTCCGGAGAGTAATCTTTTGTAGTCATTAATTTTCTTTCGCTACGTCGTCGTAAGTTGCAGCCGCCTTTGTCGGAAATGGCGCAGCTGCGGATATTTATGAATTTGCTTCTCTCCGACGCGTGAAATTTAATCAACGCCCGCGGATATCGCTTTAATTATTCACCGTAACGTTATTGCGTGTTAAATCTGCTTACGAATTCTCAACGTCAATCCTCGATCGGCCGATAGTGCTCGCACTTCAGATTTCAAATTTCAGATTTCGAAAAAGTTTTAATTAATCCTCGATTTAAAGACATTTCAAGTCATAAATATGTATGCGCTTCGATAAGAAAATTTCTGCGATATATTTCATAGCTGAACAATATTATATATTCAGTTATGAAATATATTAATTAATAATTAAGTTAGGAAATATTTTATATTAATTGCTACGTGGCAACTTCGTAAATAAAAGATTGATCAAAACAATTGACCGGTGTTTACCATAGCACACAACTTAGCACAACTTCGAAAGAAACTGCTAAGTAGTAGCATTGGCTGTGAAATTATGTTGTATAAGAGATTGCCGTGAGATTGCCCGTTGAACAAACCGAGAAGTCATCTCGCGCCTCCTCGAGCTTGCGCCTCGTTCGAATCGGTAACTTTCCGTACGTGCCGCGTTTGGGATTCCGCCGAGGACCCGCCATAAAGTCGTCAGGGCACAATCGCGCGTGCGAAAGTAGAACCACGAAGCGCGAGAAGTAGGAAAATACGAGAGTAGAGAGGAGCACGTGTGGCAGAGACGAGAGAGAGAGAGAGAGAGACAGTGGAAGGTACGAGGGAGGAACAAGTACAAGAGGACGGGGGAGGATGACAGATGAGGGTGTATATACCGAGGCGAGAGAGGGGCGACGAGAGAGAAGAAGTGGCTTTCCGACGTGCGAACAAGCTCGCGATTTTCCCGTCACGTAGAGATGCGAGCTCGACTAGACGACGACGACGACGACGATCAAATTTGTTCGGGAATTCGAAATCGCTGGGATGGAACGATGGGTTGGGAATAAAGTGTATGCGGCAGCCGAGTGTGTTCGCGCCGCGCCCTAGGAACCTTTCAGCAGGTTCGCCACGAGCGCGCGGGAGATGAGACGAACCGACAGAGGAGGAAAGAGTGATTCGACATCAAAAGGTGTCTACCGGTCGTTCAACTGACTTCGGTTCGCGCTTACCGAGAGACGGCCTCGTCTGAAAATCACAGTTATCGTACCGGAAAATCACTGTATCGCTCCAGGGCCACGTGCTAAGTCAAAGAATACGTTTCTTCTTTTAGATACTCGACTTTTCCAGGATAAAGTTGCATTATCGAATCCCACGTTTTATTTGAGTTTCATTAAAAATTGCGAACGTAATCACCTTCATTGTTATTTAGCGCATTGTTTCGCGTGAATCATCTTGATAATATGATATAAAATTCTCAATTTATTGCAGAAGAGAGAAAGAGAGATAGAAAAAGAATAGAATTAAGAATTTAATGCAATAAAAGTTTTTTAAACAACGGGTGATTTCTGCATAAGTAATACTACTGTGATTTAAATATATCTTGTGATTATGTCGATATCACTAACTGTAAAAGCAATTTCAAATTTTTGGAGAATTAAGGCGATTTATTTTATTCATTTTTATCATTGGAAATTAAAAATTAAATCCCTAAAATGTGCAATTATTCTCGCGTAACATGGCGAAAATATTAATACATATCGTAAATTTATTTTATAATGAGTAGTTATTTCTCCTTCAATCTGAATCTACGCGAAGAAATTTTATGCGTATATTCGCGGCCAATTACCAAGCATACCAGACGCCATCAGCGTGATTTTCAGTCGTGCAAATATTTGCCCGTGCAGGAATTACGGAATTCAATCTTGATGATACCGCTCCCACGAATTTTCATGCGGATCTTTGACGAGCGGTAATGACGTCAAAGAAATGTGGAATTTCATAACGTTCTCGCTAACACACATTACGCTTGTTACAACGAAACAACTATATATATATAGGTATATAGAAAGGATTTCGTATAATTATAGTTAATACGCACGTCCGCCGCACTCGCTCGATTGGAGATTATAGCGCAATCGCAGTTTCCGAAAGCAAATTGAAACACGTGTATTTTAAAAGCTATTTTTTTCACAATATACGTATTTTTTTTTAATAAACGCATTCCGTGAATGCTTCGACAAAATATTAAAACGCTTTTATGTGTTTGAGACAAGTTTTTCATACAAAATACAAAAACCTTTTGTGTATTTATATATTTTTGTGTATATCGACATTAACGCATAAAGCTCTCTTTAACGAAAAATAATTTTTTTTTTAATATATATTGCACTCTTTTAACCTTTTTATTCATTTAATCAAATGCTCGGCGTTTTTGTTCTCGACAAATGCGAAATGTTTAGCAAATGTTTATTCCCGTCGACGCTTTATTCAATCCTTGTCCATCCATTTTAAAGCTGTCCCGACAAAAAATAAGAATCGTCCAATCG